AGCTGACCTCCATTGTGTTTTACTCTTCTAACGAGGATAAGAGAAAAGACCACCACAACTATTAGTCTACACAACAGAGAATGCCACATCGGATAACATGAGATGCCCTTCTGCTTATAGAATGAAAAGGCCTGTGAGTCGAAAACCTGTATCATGTAAAATTTCATAGAAGAAACAGACTGAGATTGATCCTGCTTAACAATTGGTAATTTGCTGTACCTGCAAATCCAGACATTGGTCTAGCATCTTCTTGCGTTGTTCCCAAGCTTTCTCCAAATCATCTCTCTCTTGTCGGACATCTTGAAGCTTTTTTTCAATTATAAGGCTATCACGGTGCCCACTGTCTATAAGTTCTGCACCGGAGTCCTCTAAGGCCTGAAAGGTGGGAGCATCAGCTTCCATGTCAGCATGCTGTTCCTGTGGGGAAAAGGGGCAGACACTGCTGAGGCCAATCCTATTACTAAAAATCGCAAAATATGGGGTGACTGTGAGATCCAGTGATTAGTGGCTGTGGCTTTCGTAGCTATACCTTGTGTCGTTCCCGCAAGATCTCTATGCCAGTTAAGTCCTGAGCCAGCTCCTGTGACGATACCATCCCATCCATGGCACTGATCCAATTCTGTAGATCCCTAGAGAATTAGAATATTGGCATTGACAAGAAAACCTTGTAACTTGCTACAAGGCTGTCTGCCTATTACTTTTCTCTTTCTAGAGAAGGATTGACATCTGACTTTGTATGCTTTACAGATCTCAGGTTTGCTATTTGCCCTGTGTCACTTAACGAGAGCAATCCCTTGCATTTGAAAATCTCTTCATATATATTATCTCTTTCACTTACAACAATCCTGTACAGAGCATGAGTAATTTATCTGTTTCCATTTTAGAGATGAAAAAATCAGACTGGAAAAAGTCATTAGCCCAATGTGACACAACTAAAAGGAGATATCTGGACTGGAACCCAGGCTTCTGGCATCCTGAGCCAGTATATATTCCATTATTCCAATTAACTCCTGCCCCTTTTAAGTGGCTTCTTGTGTTTAAAGATCTGTTTCATTATTGAGTCTCAAAGAAGGCATGTCCTTCCTTTTGCTTTTATTCACAGCAGAATTCAGTACAGGCTTCTGCTCACTAAAACACACTGTCGATTAAGTTGTGGGTCTATTTCCCATTCTCTTAAAAGCAGTCAAGAAGAAAGATAATGTGGACCTAATGTCTGTCCTCCCCAGAGAGTAAATGTCAAGTAGCTATGCATTAACTTAAAATTATGTATGGAGATCCAATTAAACATAAAGAGTGCCCTGATCCCTGTTTGCTAAATAGAAATCATTAGCTTGGTTCTAGGGCAGAAAGTTCTCTTCTTTTATAAAATCATCCATTTATTTATTCAAGCAACTAAGTTTTATTGGTGTTTACTCATTAGCTAACATTGAGAAAAAGACATATTGTTGCCTTCTAGGAGCTCACACTTTCCACTGAAAGGGAAAAAAAAGCAAACAAAACATAAACACTATTAGCTATTTCTGATACCAGTATTTGTGCTTTTTCCACTACATGGCTTTTTAAAATGTGTGATTAATGCTAAAAAAAAAAAAAAAAAAAAACCCTGAAAAAGAAAAGTGTCATAAAGAGGAAAAAACAAGATTTCAGAGTTTTCAGAGGATGGGAATATTATATCTGCAATCTTGAAGCATAACACTTCATACAGGAAAGGACATAGCATTTGGTCTGGAACCTGAAGTCCAGATAGAATCTATATCTGCAGAGATATATGCGTTTGGGGAATGGAAGTGGTTGCTATTTATTTATACTACCTGGAAGACTACCGCTTTCTGGAGGTGCTGAATTGTGGCAGAAGAGACCAAGAGAAAGCACAACCATTTGCCAAAATGTGCCTTCTTTCTTCTCTAACATCATTGAATTGTGAGCTATTACTTCCTGGACTCCCCACTCTAAATGTTCCTCCTAGTAGATCAATATGATGGGGCAGAATATAGGAATATTTCCATAGATAAAGTATATATTTGCAGGTGATTTTTGGACTCTCCAGAATTTGATCCCAATGTTTTAAAATTTCTCTCTTGCTACTTCTCTTTACCCCCTGACATACAAACCTATGCTCTAGCTGCTCCTGCTGTATGAACATGCCGTGCCTTTCTTATTGTGTGGCTTTGTTTGCATAGCTCCCTCTACGCATGTATCTTCCTATTCTGTCTCACTTAGTAAATCCTGACTGATAAGGTCCAGTAAAACGCTACTTTTTCTACAGTGCATCGTCTGTTCTCTCCACCTCTAAATTCCCACTGTTGTTTGTCAGGATGTGCATTTAGGGGCATATTATGTTCTATCATGATTCTTTGTATTCTTCTCTGGCTCCCCAACAGAATGAAGACCCTATCCCCATAACTCCTGACACATCGCCCTATACATACTATACACTCAACAGAAGCTTACTTAACTGGCCTATATAGCCTCACATTCTTTCCAACTTCAATATTTTATGGTTTGGAGTATTGAACCTCACATTTTTGTGTTTTAGCAGAACTCAACACAGTGGTGTCCTCAATACCCAGCAGTGAACAGCAAAGCACTTCGTACACAGACTTCTCCTATCAGCATTACTTAGGAGCCAAACATGGGGATTATCCACTCCATCTGCTGGAAGTCTACCTTCTGATCTTTACCTGGCCTTGCTGAGGAACTGGTAGAGTTTCTGAGACTCATTTAAGTTCTCCTTACGATCCTCTGAACGCCCCCACAGGTCATCCCAGGCCTCATTCAGCTCTCTTCGCTGCCTCTGCAGGTCCTCGGTGGCATCTGGATGGGATTCACTGAGCCGCTCTGCTGTTTCCCCCAAGATGGTCACCTGGGGAGGTACAAGAGCTCTGCTAATCAGCCTAGAGTAATTAGGGCCTAATCACATCTGAGTCCTAGCAAAAGAAGCAATCTGAGCCTTGATGCTCATTTTTCAAAACAGACATCAGAGATATAAAAAGCACGTCTTGTTACTTTATAAAATAATACCAACCCTTTCAGTTCACTTGATAATTCTGTGAAGTAGTCAGAATTGATACGAGCGTACTTCTTTTTAAAATAAGAAGTCAGTGGGGCAGGGTAGGTAAGTGACTTTGCTGGTTAGTGGCAAAATCACTAACCCCGATTCTTAATGTGAAGATCTTTCCAATATAGACATCTTCTGCACTTTTTGTTCTGCATGATAATGCCAAGCTGTGTAATGTCTATGATTTATCCCAGAGTATTGCTAGCAAGCTCAAGAGTTTACTTTTGGGTGGGGCAGGATTGGGAAGCTCATGTGATGCCTGGTTGAAGAAATTCTGCACCATGCTCATGCATAGGCCTGGCCATCCTGGGTATGGCCCCCAAATAGCTTCAGGCAATTTCTGGTCACTTGGAATCCACTAAAGTGGCAAGGGAATATAGGATAGTCATGTGGCAAGTAGGAGGTTTGCTTCTAACATGACTTTCCTCTGTGTTAATTGTAGGTCAAGTCCTTTTAGTGGCCTTGTCTTAAGGAAATGGTACAAAGAACAAGGATGGAATAAGATAAAGAGAAATGTAAGACCAAGAAGCTGGGGAAGAAAACTAAAGAAGGGCAATGGTAAATGTAAACTCGAAGAGGAAAGTGTTGAAAAGCCTGGGAGCACATGCTGTCTCACCTTTTCCCCCAAGGGCATGAGGTCTCGCTCGAAGCCCTCATGCTGGCGCTGAAGGGCCTGAACACTGAACAAGTCCTTGCCAGGGTCAGCGGCACTAAGGGCCTGGCGCTTGTCCTCAATCTGCTCCTTTGTGTCATCTGCTTCTCTGGTACACAAGAGAGTAAAGGGTGACTTTGCTGGTTAGTGGCAATGATGTGTACTGTGTAGCAAAGGAAGACTAGCTGGGCTCACATGGAAGTCACTCGTATCACGACTGTCTTCATCACTGTAGTCAGCCTTATCCTCCTCATCATTTAATCCTTACAACAACCCCCAGAGGCATACTTATTATTGTCATTCCCATGCTCAAAGAGGCTAAATATTTTCTCAAAGTTATACTGCTGACAAATGTCAGAGCCTAAGTTTGAACCAAGTGGTCTCACTGCAGAGTCACATCTTAACATTACATTCTGTAGCTTCCCATCTTAAGTCATTCTGAACAGCCAGACCAATCTGAATCTCAGTTTTCCCTTCCCCAAATCTTCAAAAAGACATTTATACACAGCAAAGGTGTTTGGCTTCTATTTTGTTTGTCCATTTGCTTGTTTGCTTGCTTGCTTGCTTGCTTGCTTGCTTGCTTTTCTTTTATTTATTTTTTTCTTTTTTAGTGTAGATACAAGTTTGGAAATCAGACATAAATAATTGTTGAATGAACAGTTAGAGTCAACGTAGTGTTTGTTGTCCTTTACTGTCCACTTCTAGTTCATCAATGTAATTGCTTAAACCTCTTGTTTCTATTTAAGTTTCATTCACTATCACTGGAAAAAATATGTATATATAGAGAGAGACTATCAATTATGTACCTGGGCTAAGCCTAGACACTAGAAAAATTGAAGGTGATTGTCTTGGAGTATCCTATGTGCCAAGTGAAGAATCTACTCCTGAAACACCTGTTTTCCTATCGGCAAATTGACTCTGTCTCAGGAAGAAGAGTTGCACTAAGCTGTGGTTCTACCATACTAAATAGAATTGGGGGTCTCTGAGTGGGTTCTAGAGCAGCACCACTTTCTGAGGTTAAAATTCTCACCTGTGAAACATCTCGACAGCATGGGCACTGCCCAGCAGTTGGCGCTGTTCCTCTGCCAGTCTCTGCAGGGAGCCCCAGCGGGCATTCAGCTCCTGAAAGTAGGCCAACACGTCAGACTTTAGCCAGGGAGATAACTCAAATAGCTCAGTGATGTCTCAAGACCAGATGGGATTTAAATCATGTTTGTTCTCATATTATCTCCTTTAGAAATTGCATAGCTTTACTTCTTTCTTGGATAGCCTAAGCTTGGGCCTCACTTACTCCAAGATGGTAGAGAAAGGGTTTCTTTTCTTTTCAAACTGATGTTCCAGGTAGGAACCACCAACCC